CCCTACAGCATCAGTAATACTCATCTAGTGCAAAGGAGTCACAAAGAGCTTTGTATAAATAAGGGGAAACAGGCAGTGTAAAAATTGAAGTAATGATCATACGAAGGAATCGTACATTAATCAAGAGTTTTCTTAAAATAAATTACTAAAATTCCATTATGAAAACGCTATTTTTTTATTTTTGAAATTATTTAATCTTAGCCATTTCTATCTAATGTCTGTAGCTGCTATACCAAAATAACTCTTTATCTAACTTTGGAAGGAAAGAAAATAACCTTGGATATATTCCGTGGAAGAGGACACAGAAATAACGAACCTTTATATACACCTGCGAACAAGATGTTAGAAAAAAAGACATGGAAGGGAAAGCGTAACTGTAAAGTTTACACAGGTACGATTTTCCAATGCAAACAAGTTACTCTGACTGTTAAATATCTTGTATCAAAGTATCAATTACAAACCCCATGCCTCTGGTAGTCAATCCTCCCAGTGGCACCCTATGCCTTTACCATTTGGCAACCTCCCAATAGTTTTTCTTTTCCAAATAACCCTATCAGCTTAACTCTGCTAAGCAGAGATAACACAATTCCCAACAGGAGTGCTAGAGGTTGCATACAGAGTAATCAGTTTGCTACTCAGTAGCACAGTTAAGGTGATTAGCTCAACACACAGGTATCCTAATGCAGACATATGACAATTGTAGCTGAGAGAGAATTAAGAGGACCAAAAAGCTATTTCAAATATACATATCAATTCTGTTCGTGCAATGGCACATGCTAGGTTCCAACTGCAAATCGTAATTTGAATTTTGACACGATAGCCTGAAATATTTGCTCCTTTAAGAAAAAGCACTCCAATATCTCTCATCCCTCTTCACATTACAATTGCAACACATCTTCCTTTATTGTGTCTTTGGACTTGGGCAAGTCTCTCATAATTCTTTCCTCTGCCAATACTTATTCTGTTTCTTAGTGAAAAAGAAATGGAAACAGTCATCAGTTGCAAGTCATTTATGAGATTCTGAATTAGTTACCTTGATTTTTTTCAGCTTCTTCTACAGAACCAATATATTTGGTGGCAACTTCAGGGTTATCTATAGAAGGATCTAATGCATAACCTAGAACAAAAGGAGACATAAAATACTGTTATTTCAAGCTTTTTTGTTTTGTACAAATTTATTACCCTGCCCCTCCCCCCCTCCAAATTTTTTTCCCATTGGCTCTCAAGGAGCTAGGGATGAGGAAGGGCTGATACTTTGAGATCCCATATGCTTTCCATTTGGCCTGAGTATTAAGATTATTAAGTACTACCTTGGGACCTTTGAGTACGCTTTGCTGCCAGAATGCTTAAATTTGCACAAGATAGAGAAGCAAATAAATACAATAGGCAACCGTTAACATAAGGCACAAAGGGAGAGTAGTCGCAGGAAGCAAAGTCACAGAATCCTTCTGGTTGGAAGGGACCTCCGGAGGCCCCTGGCCCAACACCCTGCTCCAAGCGAGGTCAACACTGAATTCAGACCAGTTCGCTGTAACGCAAACATTAGATTTTGAAATGCCATTAACAACCTCTTCTTGTTGCAACGTAGCATAAGGAAAAGACTAGCTTAAAATCTCATGTTAGTGACACGTGATTTTAAACACATGCTGCTTTAGTTCAGGGCACGGTTCCTTGGTTTGCGAAGCCCATAAGCCACACTGAAACCAGCCCACTGCTGCTGCACACAGAGAGCCCTCGGCTTCAGCAGCAGCCCCCTGCCCTGCAGCCCCCCTGCCCTGCACACCACCACCGCTGGGTCACAGCATGCTGCTCATCCCTGGCAGCCCTGGGGACCGTGGCAGCTGAAAGGAAGAGGACAGAGATGGGGAAAAAATGAAAGCAAATGAAGTTTGATGGCTTTGTGTACATTGTGTCCCCCCAGCAGAAATGAATTTCATCCTTCTCTTGCCAGAGCTGGGAAAGCTTGTTCCTTCAACTTGAAAGCAGTTGCTTTAGCCAACGTGGATGGTATCAGAAGCAGCAGCAATGGCCTTTAATTTTTAAAAGAATTAAGTATTCAAATCTTCATTTCCTGATTACAGCTATTGAGTCTCATTCAAAAAAACAAAAACAAAACCACCAAACTAAAAACTACTATGTTTACTCTTATAAATAATTTACAAAATGCACCGGCATTTCATAGATATTCAGGATATTTACAATTTTTGATACTGAGATTCTCATTTTAATATGCATATCTTACAGTCTTTCTCCATTTCTCCTGAAGGGGATAGCATGCCTTATGAGAATAAGATAGACAAATAAATTCATCTAGTTTCCAAGGAACAGGTGCACTGAACAGTTACTGACCACCATGGTTCTTTTTGGGAAAGACTGCACCCTGGTGGATGTATCATCAATTTTTATTAAATATTATTCAAGTGACAAAATGTCCCTTGAGGACACAATGAGAATTTCTCTGCATCAGGAAGGGAAAAAAAAAAAAATAAAATAATCCCAGCAATGAAGATATTAAACCACTGGTTAAAGCAATCACACACACAAAATAAAAGAAATCCTACAGTATATAATCTAAAATTCTTGTATTTTTGTTGATTCACAGAGACATCCGTGAACAGTGGGAAATTACCAGTCCACCCCAGAGACCAACGGCCCATAAAAGCACTTGGATGCACACAAGTTGAGAAGGTATCAACACCATCCCAACAGCCAAAGGAGGTCATCTCCCCAGACATTCCTCAGAAAGACTACTGTCCTAGAAGATGGTCCAGTTCATTTCTTTTTAGATGCTGGGAAGAAAATGTTATTCAAATGAGGAGAAGAACTATTCCAGGAACACAGGAAGCGTTCTCATACAAATGGAGCAATCCACCTGCAGATCAGCTCTGGAGCTTCACACCTGGTAAGACCCAGTCATGGACCAACATACGCCCAGATGCTCCATGAATATTATATAGGGAGAGAAATATATACCAATGCCCTATTATGAAATATAAATTCCCACTACAACTAAACCAAACAACAACAAAATTATTCTAGACTATTATTAGGATTTACTTCCATGGATAATCAAACTGAGCAGAAGCTGCAATTAGATTTTTGCTAATTTAACTGCCTGCTTTTACTAAGCCACTATTTCAATGAGTTCTCTTCCAAGTTATAAGGTTTCTGTTAACAGCAGAGAGATATTACTTTGGATTTATGTCAAAATCAATACAGTGGTTTACTTGTCCTCCAACTGTATTGACTCGGTCTCTGTAACTCTATTTGCTTGGTACTTGTAAAAGAGGGTTAGTATTCTCATGAATAGGGCCCCTGGGCCAAGCACAGCTTCCCGTGGAAGTAGAAACTTCTTATAGCTGGGCTGAATTTGCTCCAGCATCATTCTCATAGAAAAGCTCTGAACAATTTCTACTTTCTAGCGGACATGTGAAAGAGAATCTTTTCTTTCTGGCTGGGACTCCTAAACGCAGCTGCAAAAGACAGCTTGCTTTTATCCTACTCAGCTGGTATGCCATATAAAGTGCCCTGACTTCTATGTCTCCTTCAGTTTTATTTAGGAGGTAGATATTTCATGCCACATTTTAGCAAGGAAAGGTACAATTCCATGTACATCCATAATTTCAGTGCACCTGAAAATCGTTGGTTAAATAATCAGAGTTTGATGTGCATTCCAGAAAGATAGCTAATTAAAGTATGTTTACACTGTACTGTGCAATGCAGCATACAGAGATCCAAGGTAGCTCAGGTATTTGGAAAAATACAGCTGGACTAATGCATTCTGACTGCACTGGCCTCTCCACAGAACCAAAATACCGGGAGAATAAAGTGCCTACAATTCTAAGAAGCAATAGTGACTGTAGGTGTTGCATGTAACATGAGCAGATTAAAAAAAATCAGGAGTGTTATTTCCAAGTCAGAGTCATTTTAAGCTCTTAAAATATCAGTCTTACCGATGAAGTAATCCTGTTATAATCAAGTTACTGAATACTCATAAAGAGCTTCAAGATTCATGAACAGAAGACTGTTTCTTATTAAAAAGGACATTAATATCTTGTGAAGGAGAGATTTTAAAATACTAAATGCTGCATGAATGAAGCAGTCCACTTCTAGAATGAGTACTGATGCTGAAATAGCTATGAAATTGTTTTTCTACCATATTCATGAACAGTTTGTGTGCAACATGTAAAAAATAATCCGTGATTCTGTGTCACACTGAAAATTTATATATGCCCACACAATTAAGGGCAGTATATTACCTTTTTTTTTTTTTTTTAAGCAATGCTTAAAAGGGAATTTTCAAGAAAAGAGACTGCTTCTGCTGAGGGTACAGATACAGCAGAATAAATAAGTGCTTGTGTTTTAGGACTTCCTAGTCTTTTTAGCCATGCTCCAAGGGCTACAACATTAGAAAAATAATGCTAGTTAAGCTTTTGGCCATTTACATCATAATGGCTTGTGACAAGAAATTTGTTTTTCTAGAGAAAAAGCCTTCTCTTTAATAGCTGAAATTATATAATGAGATTGCCTTACATCAGTGGATTCAAATAGGATAGATTACCTACGACTGCAGATGCAAAACTGGTTACCAATCAAAAAAAGGTCAAACTCTCACAGAGTAATTATTAATGGCTTTCAATCAAACTGGGAGAGGATCTTACACAAGATTATAAAATGGCCTGCCTGGACTATTTTATTCAATATTTTTACAGATTATGACATCAGCAAAGGATCACATACCTGTAAAACCTGCAGCTGACACCAAAGACAAGTGTGAAATATTTCACTTCAGCAAAGACATGTCAAATGACAAACACACAAAAAAGAAAATAACTGATTAGGTACAGGGAGAAAAAAAAACAGGCTACAAGGGTAGTGGTGTTGATGTACTTAACAAGTATCTGACACCTATGAGGGGGAAAAAAAAAAAGAAAACAGATTTATTGCAAAGGAAAAACTATACAAAATATGTAACAGCACTGGCAAGGCCTAATCTAGATTGGCATGTCCAGTTTTAGGCAATGTATTTTAAAGAAAAATTTAGATAAAAATTGAGAGTAACAAGAATGATAAAACGTTGGGGGTGAGGGGGAAGGCCTAGAAAAGATTGAAGAAACATGCTTGTCAGTCTAAAGAGATGAAGAACAGAAGGTGAACAACTGATGGACCCAAAGGTAATTTCAATATGAGAAACATTAAAGACAACAACAACCACCCATGGCTTGATAGGGCTGCTGAAGGGAACATGAGAAACAGTTTAAATTTGCAGCACAGAAGGTTCAGGGTGGTATCAATAAGATCTCAGCTATTACACTCATGAAAAAATTACAACTACAATATTTATGCAGATTTTAAAACCATGCAAAATAGTATAAAAATAGGAATGACCTTGAAGCAATTCTGACTTGAGAGATCTGACTAGATCACTGGTTTCAAGCAGTTATCTGGGGATACAGGACCTGAATATCCCCGACTCCTTCTGGGGAGTTGGAAAGACAAGAGAAGCAGGTTTGCATTCACAGTAACAAGGGTTCACAGGCTCTTGGGGGTCAGGGGCAAAATGGCAGTTTAAGAACCCAGTGTTTATTAAAAAAAGGGGAGGAGGGGGAAAATGACTAGAGCAGTCAAAGATTTGGCTTTTCCTTTCGTGTATTATATGCCTGAACTACAATGTTTTGTATCCTAAAGAATAAAGACAGCAGCAGACACCTGACTATTTCTACGTGCAGGTATCACAGAGACACTCGATACAGAAGCTGAAGTCTGGTTGATCTGATAGAGATCTGAGGTTTGCATTTGGCATGTTCTTCCTCAGTTTTCCACGGACAAAGGGAGAGTACAAAAGCAACTCAATTAAGCTATAGTATTTTTGAATTTGTATAAAATACATTCTGGAAGGGCACCTCATTCTCAAGAGGTTGTTTTCTGTAACAAGATGCTGCAGATCATAACCTTAACACGGAAAACATCTCCACTGCCTGTGTCAACCTCACCTCTGCAAACTCCTCGAATGAAGGAAACCTTACTGAGACAGGTAGGTCTCATTTAGATTTAAAACGTTGTTGGTATTGAAAAGGTTCAAAGAGTGCTTTTTGACTAAACAGTTGGGGATAGCCA